CCACATCAACCACACCCACCATTACACCTACAACCACGATACCCATACCCACATCAACCAGCCACACCAGTACACCTACAACCACGATACCCACATCCACATCAACCACACTGACCAGTACACCTACAACCTCGACACCCACATCCACATCAACCACACTGACCAGTACACCTACAACCTCGACACTCACATCCACATCAACCACACTGACCATTTCACCAACAACCACGACACCCGCATCCACATCAACCACACTGACCAGTACACCTACAACCTCGACACCCACATCCACATCAACCGCACTGATCAGTACACCTACAACCTCGACACTCACATCCACACCAACCACACTGACCATTACACCTACAACCTCGACATTCACATCCATATCAACCATAATGACCAGTACACCTACAACCTCGACACCCACATCCACATTAACCACACTGACCAGTACACCTACAACCTCGACACCCAAATCCACATCAACCACACTGACCAGTACACCTACAACCTCGACACCCACATCCACATCAACCACACCCACCAGTACACCTACAGCCTCGACACCTACATCCACATCAACCACACTGACCAGTACACCTACAACCTCGACACTCACATCCACATCAACCACACTGACCAGTACACCTACAACCTCGACACCCACATCCACATCAACCACACTGACCAGTACACCTACAACCTCGACACTCACATCCACATCAACCACACTGACCAGTACACCTACAACCTCGACACCCACATCCTCATCAACCACACTGACCAGTACACCTATAACCACGACACCCACATCCACATCAACCACACCGGCCAGTACACCTTTAACCCCGACACCCACATCCACATCAACCACACTGACCAGTACACCTACAACCTCGACACACATATCCACATCAACCACACTGACCAGTACACCTACAACCTCGACACCCATATCCACATCAACCACACTGACCAGTACACCTACAACCTCGACACCCACATCCACATCAACCACACTGACCAGTACACCTACAACCTCGACACCCACATCCACATCAACCACACTGACCAGTACACCTACAACCTCGACACTCTACATCAACATCAACCACACTGACCAGTACACTCCATATCCTACAACCACGACATTCCACATCCACATCATCAACCACACTGACTAGTACACCTACAACCCTCGACACTTCACATCCACATCAACCACACTACCAGTACACCTACAACTACACATCAACCACCTCTACTACACCGACACCTATCACATCAACCCCACCACTGACCAGTACACCTTTCAACAACCTTGACACACCCACATCCACATCAACCACACTGACTAGTACACCTACAACCTCGACACCCACATCCACATCAACCACACTGACTACTACACCTACAACCCTTGACACCCACATCCACATCAACCACACTGACCAGTACACCTACAACTACCTTGACAACATACATCCACATCAACCACACTGACCAGTACACCTACAACCCCTCGACACCCACATCCACATCAACCACACTGACCAGTACACCTACAACCTCGACACCCACATCCACATCAACCACACTGACCAGTACACCTACAACCTCGACACCCACATCCACATCAACCACACTGACCAGTACACCTACAACCTCGACACCCACATCCACATCAACCACACTGACCAGTACACCTACAACCTCGACACACATCCACATCAACATCATCTGACCACACTGACACTAGTACACCTACAACCTCAGACACACCCTCGACATCCACATCAACCACACTTGACCAGTACACTACAACAACACGACACCCACATCCACATCAACCACACTGACCAGTACACCTACAACCTCGACACTCCACATCCACATCAACCACACTGACCAGTACACCTTACAACCTCGACACTCTACATCCACATCAACCATACTTTCTGACTACAGTACACCTACAACCATCAATCGACACCTACACATCCACATCAACCACACTGACCAGTACACCTACAACCTCGACACCCACATCCACATCAACCACACTGACCAGTACACCTACAACCTCGACACCCACATCCACATCAACCACACTGACCAGTACACTACATCACAACCTCGACACCCCTACATCCACATCAACCACACTGGACCAGTACACCTACAACCTCGACTACACTCCACATCCACATCAACCACACTGACTGGACTAGTACACCTACAACCTCGACACTCCACATCCACATCAACCACACTGACTAGTACACCTACAACTCTCGACACCTACATCCATCATCATCAACCACACTGACCAGTACACCTACAACCTCGATGACACCCACATCCACATCAACCACACTGACCAGTACACCTACAACCTCGACACTCCACATCCATATCAACCACACTGACCAGTACACTCTATAACCTCGACACCCATATCCACATCAACCACACTGACCAGTACACCTACAACCTCGACACACTCCACATCCACATCAACTACACTGGACCAGTACACCTACAACCTTGGACACTTCACATCCATATCATCCACTAATCATCCACAACCACACTGACTAGTACACTTGACTACAACTCTCGACACTCCACATATCCACATCAACCACACTGACCAGTACACCTACAACCTCGACACCCACATCCACATCAACCACACTGACTAGTACACCTACAACCTCGACACACCTACATCCACATCAACCACACTGACCAGTACACCTACAACCTTGACACTCCACATCCACATCAACCACACTGACCAGTACACCTACAACCTCGACACCCACATCCATATCAACCACACTGACTAGTACACTCTACAACCTCGACACACCACATCCATATCAACAACACACTGACTAGTACACTCTACAACCCTCGACACCCACATCCACATCAACCACACTGACTAGTACACCTACAACCTCTCGACACTCACATCCACATCAACCACACTGACCAGTACTAGTACCTACAACCTCGACACTCTGACATCCACAACCCTCATCACACACTGGACTCAGTCCACATCAACCACAACTATACTGACCAGTACACACCTACAACCTCGACACTCACATCCACATCAACCACACTGACCAGTACACCTACAACCTCGACACCCACATCCACATCAACCACACTGACCAGTACACTCTACAACCTTCGACACTCACATCCACATCAACCACACTGACCAGTACACCTACAACCTCGACACTTCACATCCACATCAACCACACTGACTAGTACACCTACAACCTCGACACACTCACATCCACATCAACCACACTGACTAGTACACTCTACAACCTCGACACTCCACATCCACATCAACCACATCAACATACACTGACTCAGTACACTCCTAACTAACCTCTGACACTCACATCCACATCAACCACACTTGACCAGTACACCTACAACTCTGACACCTACATCCACATCAACCACACTGACTAGTACACCTACAACCTCGACACCTACATCCACATCAACCACACTGACTAGTACACCTACCTACAACCATTGATACCCATCCACATCCACATCAACCACACTGGCTAGTACACCTTTACAACCTGACACCTCACATCCACATCAACCACACTGACCAGTACACCTACAACCTCGACACCTCCACATCCACATCAACTACACTGACCAGTACACCTACAACCTCGACACTCCACATCCACATCAACCACACTGACTAGTACACCTACAACCTCGACACTCCACATCCACATCAACCACACTGACCAGTACACCTACAACTTCGACACCCTCACATCCACATCAACCACACTGACCAGTACACCTACAACCTCGACACTACATCCACATCAACCACACACTGACTAGTACATCAACTACACACTGACCAGTACACCTACAACCTCGACACTCACATCCACATCAACCACACTGACCAGTACACCTACAACCTCGACACCTCACATCCACATCAACCACACTGACCAGTACACCTACAACCTCGACACCTACATCCACATCAACCACACTGACCAGTACACCTACAACCTCGACACTCACATCCACATCAACCACACTGACCAGTACACCTACAACCTCGACACTCACATCCACATCAACCACACTGACCAGTACACCTACAACCTCGACACCCACATCCACATCAACCACACTGACCAGTACACCTACAACCTCGACACCCACATCCACATCAACCACACTGACCAGTACACCTACAACCTCGACACTCACATCCACATCAACCACACTGACCAGTACACCTACAACCATAACACCTACATCCACATCAACCACACTGACCAGTACACCTACAACCTCGACACTCCACATCCACATCAACCACACTGACCAGTACACCTACAACCTCGACACCCACATCCACATCAACACATCAACACCACACTGACATCAGTACACCTACAACCTCGACACTCACATCCACATCAACCACACTGACCAGTACACCTACAACCTCGACACTCCACACATCCACATCAACCACACAACCACACTGACCAGTACACCTACAACCTCGACACCCACATCCACATCAACCACACTGACCAGTACACCTACAACCTCGACACCCACATCCACATCAACCACACTGACCAGTACACCTACAACCTCGACACCCACATCCACATCAACCACACTGACCAGTACACCTACAACCTCGACACCCACATCCACATCAACCACACTGACCAGTACACCTACAACCTCGACACTCACATCCACATCAACCACACTGACCAGTACACCTACTACAACCTCGACATCAACCACCACACATCCACATCAACCACACCTGACCAGTACACCTACAACCTCGACACCCACATCCACATCAACCACACTGACCAGTACACCTACAACCTCGACACTCCACATCCACATCAACCACACTGACCAGTACACCTACAACCATAACACCCACATCCACATCAACCACACTGACCAGTACACCTACAACCTCGACACCCACATCCACATCAACCACACTGACCAGTACACCTACAACCTCGACACCCACATCCACATCAACCACACTCACCATTACCATTAACCATAACACTCTACATCCACATCAACCACACTGACCAGTACACCTACAACCTCGACACCCAACATCCACATCAACCACATTGACCAGTACACCTACAACCACCACAATAACATCCACATCAACCACACCGACCAGTACACCTACATCCACGACACCCACATCTACATCAACCACACAGACCAGTACACCTACAACCATAACACCTATATCCACATCAACCACACTGACCATTACACCTACAACCACGACACCCATATCCACATCAACCACACCGACCAGTACACCTACAACCTCGACACCCACATCCACATCAACCACACTCACCATTACACCTACAACCATAACACCTACATCCACATCAACCACACCGACCAGTACACCTACAACCTCGACACCCACATCTACATCAACCACACTGACCAGTACACCTACAACCATAACACCTACATCCACATCAACCACATCGACCAGTACACCTACAACCTCGACACCCACATCTACATCAACCACACCGACCAGTACACCTACAACCATAACACCTACATCCACATCAACCACACTGACCAGTGCACCTACAACCACCACACCCACATCCACATCAACCACACCGACCAGTACACCTACAACCTCCACACCAACATCCGGAACACGCCCAGGAACAAGTGAAGGACCCAAAAAACTTGTTACATTAGTATCAACATACCGAACAGGCTACTCATCTGCAACGCCCAAATCGTCCCCCCTGCCTACAACGACGACGATATTAACAACTCCGCCACCTACAATGTCTCCGCATCCTGGTAAGACATTCTTCTGTAATCTCCGGGGGCTTGGTTTATTGGGTTTTTTCCAGGAGCGTTGCTTGTTGGGTTATTGTTTAACGCCGCAGTTGGCAATATTCCCGGTAAATGCAGGCGGTCTTTTATGGAATCCTAAAAGGGACATTGTCGCGTTGTCGCATTGTCGCGTTGTCGCTCTCTAAAAAACAAACAAAAAGAGGGAAAATTAACCAAAGCGCGACAGTGCGACAACGCGACATTTCGGCCATTTGTCGCATTGTCTCTATGTCGCACTGGCGCGTTTTGAACAATATTTTTCTTTTCATCCAAAGGGCGACAATGCGACATAGCGACAATTTTGTAGGTCTAAACGTGTTGCGTTGTTGCATTGTCGCTCCATCTAAAATGCGACAGTGCGACATAATCAACATGTCGCGTTGTCGCCCTTTTCAATGCGCAGGAAAAGTTACACTCTATTTCAGAATTCAGTGGTCTTTTGTTACCTCCAATGGTTTTTAAAATGAAGTAGTACTCGTAATGGCAATGGGGCCTGCTTTTCTTGAACTTAATGCAAATCATTTATTGTTGCTTTGAAAAATATATCATATATTGTAAATGTCGGTGTATTTAGTCAATCATACGAGGTTTACCAGCAACACAAATTACTTTCTATTCATTGTAATGACGGCACACACTGGCCGTGTCATTTTTAGTGCTGGGGCTTGTTAATTTTTGGAACCAATACTAATTGTAATCACTATTGTGTATGGATTCAGGAAAAACATGGTTTCATTTTTTCTGATAGCTATAAGTGTCATTTTGGGGTGATTGAATATGAGTTCCCAAAATTGCTTTCGACACCATTTCAAGAAAAACATGTTTTCATAAACCTGTCACAACATAGTCATGTAGCATACTAAAAGGCAGCTTATGATGCATGATATTGAGATAACCACATAATATGCTTCTAATTTCAATTTGGTGACATAAAATATGACATAATCATATACATTATTGTCTTAATAATATTGTCTTTCCTTCATCGGACACCAACATTGACACACTGATACTCGTGTCTGGGTAATTAAATGACAAATGACATAAAGCCAAATCTTCAGTCAATATAATCTATATGTATTAATACAGGGGTGACAAATTGTATCACAGTGAACAGATAACTACATATCACAAGTGTGTATGCAAGTGCAAGATATAATGTGCACTAGTATATTTATTTTAACTTTCACATTGTTAAGTAACCTCCTTAGTCAATCAATCCGTCATCAACCTGCAAGAACAAAATATGCTGTTGAAATACAAGCTTCGACATTATTTGTCATACAAACATAAGCATGAATTCTACGCATATTTGTTCTTAATTTGGAAACTAGAAGGGCCCTCGTTAGAGAACATGCCTCCGCCTTGCAAAGCAATCTCCTTTCACTATTACATTTGTAAAGTGCTACTGTGTACCTATACTTTAATGTGCACCAAACCGTACGCAGATAGCCCTTGTGTCATACCTAACATAACCACTTAGATTCATTCAAATCCATCCATAACTTTAACATACACTCTCAAAAAATAACATTTTAAACTAATGATCGAAAGTTTGTACGCATATGTCAAATTAAGCATGTTTTGAGGGTTGAATATTGTAGTTAGTATGGTTTAGAAGAACAACCATATACGATTTTGAATGGTTTTATTGATCATGATTGTTACAATGAGCTGACTGTTCTGCAACAAAACCAAAGGCATGCAAATCATGAGTACAACCTATGACTATAAAGACCCAAATGCATCTCGCAAATTCATCCAAGACCCTTGCAAATACTGGATGAGAAAATGGGACGTCTTAACGGTGCTCACCGAATTATTGCCATTGGACGATTACAAGGTGGCGAATCCAAGAGTGTCGTGGCGTGGACCTTCAGCATTCATCCCAGCACAGTAACTCGTTTGTGGGATCGTTTTGTGCATTGCATTTCGACAAATGACCATCCAAGACCAGGAAGACCGTGAGTCACCACACCAGCCCAAGATCGCTACATCCGGGTAACCCACCTACGTGACTGCCACCGTTCCGCTCGGGACACAGCACAGGATCGGTTTTGAGCCCAGAGAATGTCCGACCAGACAATCAGGAACCGTCTTCGAGACGTAGGTATGCATGCCAGACGTCCAAAAGTTGCCCCCTCTCCGACAAGATTACGTCACAATATGGCTGAAATATTGACTCTAAATCTCAACTCACTCACTGACACGATTACATCAACGTCCGAAAGTCAGGTGGTGTAATGCGGAGCAGCCATGGAACCCTGGAAACTGGAGGCACATATGGTTCAGTGGTGAATCTTCGCGGTATCCATTCAAGCGACGAGACGGAAGACAACGTATCTACAGACCACGCACTGAACGCTTTGCATCCAACTGCATCAGACAAGTGGACAGATTTGTTGGAGATGATGTGATGATGTGTGGAGACACCTTATACACCTGCAGATCGGAATTGGTGCTCGTCCAAGGCAATCTTACAGCCGCTCGATATATCGACCAGATTCTCTGCCCCCACGTGCATCGCCTTGTCGACCGCCAAAGGGAGCTGTAGCAACAGGACAACGCCAGACCTCACACAGCATGTGCTACAGTGGACTACCTGGACAATAACAACATCAATGTCCTCCTCTTGGCTCCTGAGAGAATTTCTTGGGACAGGCCTGTCCAACGCTGATGAATTTGTCCGAAAAGTGCCTCTGTTCAGCCAGCAGTGGATGGATACGAGGTGGAATGAGGTGGTAATATAATATTACTTAACCCTCCAGCACCTCAAAGACAGCTTAGGTTAGTAGTGAAGGGGAATTCGAGTCTTTTCTGAGGATGACAAAAGTGTCGTCCACCTTCCTATACCAGCAGACAGCTTGGATTGGGGATGTGGACAGGGCTTCTTCTTAAGAATGGTTCATTTAGATTTCTCTTAGGATGGGGGAAAGATGGGATCCCATGAAAACGGCTTTGATCTGTTCGAAAATGTCTGGTGAAGTAGGTGGACGCTATGCATGATTTAGTGAGGCTGATGATGGAGTCTATTGAGAGGTCGTTGTCAAGTGGTTGATCCAGGCTGGAGATTTGCTGATGGAGGATTTGTACCCCACTGAGAGTTAGTCAATACTCCAGCCCAAAACCCACCCTGACCAAGTATGAAGGACACAATGGCTACACGCTACCGTTTGGCAGTCCTGTTGGATTGATTTTTGGCTGTGTTTTGCATTTGTTTTCTGTGTACAGTACAAAATTTCCATACTTTGTGTCCAGGAACTACTCCACGCGTTGCTCACAAAAAGTGCCTACATGTGCCTTCTAAGGCCGCCATATTGAGTCCTACTTCTAGGCTAAAGTTCTTATCAAACATTTTCAAAACCTTCTTCAATCTGTTTCCCAAGGGACACTTATCAGGGAAATACTAAAACACTTTGAAAGGTTGTGAAACCTGTATTCCAGAACACTATTTGTTTTGACCTAAGACCTAAGAACAACGGTTCTACAGCGTTTGAAAAAGGGAACTATTCCTCCACTCGAACACTTTCGGAGGTACATGACCCCGCTACCTCGACTGTCTTCCAGAGATCCGCACTCTGGTCACAAACGTGTATATAGTTGTGTTGTTTTAGGTCTATTCACGATGTCTAGCCCTCAAATACACTTCAACCACCTCTACCTCAGACATCAGGTACCTTTCAACCATATATGATTGTCGGTTGTACAATAGCATGGCAGGCCCGTGGCTTGTGAGAATGCAGGGAGACTATAGGAAAACAGGATTCCTGGAAGCCGAGGTATCATATTCGTTCTTATTATATACCCATGTAAACTTAGGATAGTAATGCAGGGGTGCAATACGGATGACATGGTCAAATTCCGCATTGTACCCCCAATTCCGCATGGAACCCCTGTCGGTTCTACTTACTCTACGCTATGATTTGCTTTATTAAGTAACAGATTCATGCAAGATAAGAGGGTATAAAATAAATATAGAACGTCATACTAGTGCATTTCGATGTTTTGTATTGAACTCGAAGATGATGTTCTATATATTTATCAGCAACGGTTCTTTACAAAGCATACCGACAACTGGTGATATGTATGTACGGCGTATTCTGAACAATTTCTGTTTTGTGGTGCACACATTAATTTAACACCACTCGGTTCAGCTAAGGACACCCATGTTTCTGTGTTCCTGACAGTTTGAACCCTGAATATGGAAATAAATTGAAACCAAGCCAGATTAAATAACTCTTGTTTAAATATTTCCTTCACTGGCTTCCTACTGCATCTTGACTTTAAGCTGCTCTGAAGAAGTTCTCAAAGGTTAACCTGGTACTAAAGGATCAGGTCGCATAATTACAGTGGAGCCTGACGTCGCTGCTCCCGCTATATTTCTAACTGCTTTTACAACTTAATCCTTCCTGCTTAGTGGCTTCAAGGCCCGTAATATTTGTAGTTCTTACTCCGCGTCTGACCTGATCCAATCATGTGCCACTTGTCATTCTATTACATGCTGTTGTTAATGTTAAACTACTGTTTGTCATGACATACTATGTAGATATACTTCTCATTACCTGGTTGTAGTCACTATTAGCTTGATAATGGTGTAATAATCTACACTCAAACGTCACCCTATGCATTAAAAAAGACGTTGTTATCCTTAACGTCATGTGCCTGAGTAATGATTCGCCAAATTCTAGAATGCCGATTAAACTATAAGTGATGGTTGATTAGAAACGAAACATGTAGAAGTTATCGGTATCCGTGAATTCAAAACCACTTAATTCAGGTCACAACATAACACATTAAATATGACATATAAAACCAGCATGCATATCATTTGTTTATGTCATATACATATATGCATGAAACGAATTGAAGATTTAGGATAGGAATTAGGTTTCGTGAGGTGTTTGGCGTATTTTAAGGTTCGATCAACCTCTACAATGGAGAGCATAAGACTACTAAACAACAAC